TTATTCTCAATTAAGTAGTTTTTATTATATAATATTACGTAACATTTTTTATTCTTTACTACTACACTTTTTTATTTTATTTAAAGTATTATGATTGTGCATCATTCCCTTCCCTAAATATAAGGCTAAAACTTAACAAACTTCTTTCAATAACACAAAAAAAAAAAGTAACAAACTTTTTAGCGGGAAATTTTTTATGAGGTAATGACACGTGTACTTTGGGAATAATTATGAGGATTACTTTAATATATAGTATAGATTTTCTATAGCAAAGCGTCGCCCAAAAAAGTCTCGATTAAAATTTTTTTGTTTCAGACTGATTAACCGGGGCGAGCCCAATTTTATTAGTTGAACGGGAACTTATTAGTCTATTTTATTAGTTTCCTAAGGAACTTTTACTTGACTTGCTTTAACTTTACACTATTCACATTCTTTAGACTGTTTTTTGTGATTGTAAGATGGGAGAATTCTCCTTGGAGGCATATTATTGATATGTTCCAATATATATATATACCCTTTGGGTATTAGGATTTACAATCATACAATGCTAATTATGGACATTAAAATATTTACATATTTAAATTGTCTAACACACTCTCGCAGTCAAAGCGAGAGGAGGACGAATGTTTAGCTGGAGTGAAAGTCCCTGAATAAGGAAATAGGAAGTCCCTTTGTGAAAATATCTGCATACTATTAGGATGAGGGAACATGTAGCACTCGTACGTGACCTAGAGCAACCTTTTCCCGAACAAAATGAAGTCCATTTCCACATGCTTCGTTCGTTGATGTTGAACTGGGTTATGAGACATGTATACGACACTAATGTTATCACAGTACGCTACCGTCGCTTTTCGCAGGGGATAATGAAGTTCGAGCAAAAGGTTGCGAATCTATGATGTTTCGGCTACCACATTTGCAACCCCACGGTATTCACCCTTAGCACTAGATCGTGACACTGTGGGCTATCGTTTGGATGACCATGATGCCAAATTGTCACCCAAAAATACACAATAGCCGAAGCAGGAGTAGAAGAGAGATGCATCCCATAATCAAGTGTACCTTTTATGTATCGAAGAATACGTTTAAGAGCATGAAAATGAGATTCTTAGGGGTCATGCATGAACAGGCACACTTGTTGAACAGCATAAGAGATGTCCGGTCTAGTGAAGGTAATATACTGAAGTTTACCAGCAAGTTGACGATATAGAGTAGCATTGTCAAACTTGTAGCCTCTAGAAGCACTAAGTTTGGACTTCATATCCACAAGAGTAGAGGCCAGTTTACAATCAGACATATTAGCCCGGGCAAGAATTTCCTGTGAATACTTTCTTTGACAAAGAAACATGCCTTCCTTGGAACGAGAGACATAAATACAAAGAATTTAGGATAGGGGGCCAAGATCCTTCATATCAAATTCGGCACTTAAGAGAGCAATGTAACACCCACAAATTACTCTCCAATAATAATAATCGTAATGCAACTTTAGGGAGTAAGTTGGAGATATTACCGCCACGTGATTACGTAAGGCTTAACAGAGACTTGTAGAGGAAGAAAAGTACTTATCATTTATTAATAGTTCAAAACATTTCTAAAGTACCTAAAACACTGATACTATGTTTACTAAATTGTACTAGGTGATCATCGCCCATTGTCCCCAATGCAGCATTTAATTCACGTCGTCTGATCGCCATCACCTATCTACTCATCATTAATGACAAGTAGGGCCAAGCCAAAACAAATGAGAAATACGTATTAGCCAAAATGCTAAGTACATACAAATGCTAGACATGTAAAATTAATTTAGTTAATTAAACATGCTTTCGAATGACCACAATTTATTCAAACCGCTCATGAATAGAAATCTCCATATTAAAACATATCAATTTCTGAAATCAATAACTTTCCAAAAATAGTTCCAAATAGAGTATGGATTCAATTCTCATTTCACGAAATTATTTTTTCCACCTAAGTGTGCACATCCCCCAAGCTAGTAACTCCTTACATAGTGCTATCAAGGGGAAAGACTAGGTCATACATATCCCATAGTCTTTAATTTTATCTCCTCATTGTGGGAGTCAAAATTCCAAATATCCAATGAGTAAATCCGATAGATAATTATAAATGCTCAATATCCCATACCCGGGGTAATTCAAACAGTAAAACTTCATTTTTAAACATCTTGAATATCAATACAAGTTTGTAATCAACCACGTAAAATATTTAAACATTTAAGATTAAACAATTAAAACATGCTTCACCGAAATATATTTCATAATCATTCAAACATGGTTAGAAATCACTTAACATGTAAATCGTGTTGCATATAAAAGTCACTTATAAAAGATCTAGCCACGTGTACGTACCTTGATCTTTGCACACAAGTATGGAACTCCTAATTACGAATTGTAAATTCCTCCTACGACAAACCAATAATCCTAAGCAAAATACTTTTCAACCCATAGACACAAGGACCTAAAAATATTAACCATCGACTTAGTTGTGCATGAGCCATTAGTTCAATTCTTGTAAAATCGATACTTATATTTTCAAGTTCAAGAGACCTTTTTAATATTAAGAGAGTTAGTGAATAGTGTAGTACGTAGTAGTATTACTATTATATAGTAGTAGTAGTAGTAAATTAGTAGTATAGAAATGTTGATAACATTATTAATAATAATAGTAATAATAATAAGTAGTAGTAGTAGTATATAGTAGTATTTAGAAGCATATTAGTATGATTCATCATTTTTATCTTAGATAGTTGGAAGCTATGGTAATGGAGGCAAGAGATTTCACCTTATTGCTGAGGTGTTGAAGGCAGCCAACAGGGCGGTGGAAAAAGGGGTGGTCTTGGTGGTGAGCTCATGACCAAGGAGAAAGAAAAGGGGAAAAAGACGCTAAGGAAGAAGGAGTTTGGAGTAGAAATAGAGCAAGGTAGCAATGGTGGTTACCACTCACCGTTATACATATAGCTCTAACTTAGTACTATTACAATTACATCCATCAATGCAAGGAGTTGGACTAATTAATACAATTGGAAGACTTTTAGTCTCTTACTTGCTAACATGAGGAATTTTTTTTTTTTTTTTATTATTATTTTTTTTTTCTGTAGTATTGAAGAAGAATGCTAGGTTGACATGCTTTTGTGTAGTACTAGTGTACTACAAATATATATTGGGCTTGAGTATATTAAGAATTAAATTTTGTACTTTGTTGTTTGAATCGGAAACAAGTGTCTGAATCGGGAACATATCATTAAAGGTTAAAAATCCAATTTTTGGGTATCGACAACTTGGCTTGCCTTGTAAAATCAAATTTATAAAGAGTAATTATAATAAAAATATCTTTTGTAAAATCATATATTTAATTAAATATTTTTATATAATAATAAATTATAATATTTAAAATATTTCGGAAAAATCCAAAATTAATAACTAGTAAACGAGTTCAAAAATACAGGGTATTACAGTCTACCCCCCCCCCCCCCCTAAAAAAAGTTTCAACCTTGAAACTTAGGTCGAAATTGGTTAAATAATCCAAGTTAGTACAAATTGACTCATGCACAACCTATAATGACTCAAAATGACTCTAAATGTGATTCATGCACAACATATAACAACTCGAATTGACTCAAAACTAACCAAAAAGCGCGAAACTTTATCACATTCTACCCCCCTTAAAAGGAGTTACGCCCCCTTAACTCGACTACTAACCTCAGAAAACAACTCTGGATATCTTTTCCTCATATCTGATTCGGCTTCCCAAGTAGCTTCCTTGGTTTTATGGTTTGACCATAACACCTTGAGTATCTTAACATCCTTGTGCTTAGTGCTTCTCACTTTACTATCTAGAATCTTCACAGGTCTTTCCTCATAAGTTAAGTTCTCGTCCATCTCGATGGTTTCAGGCTGTAAGACATGGGAAACATCTGGTATGTACTTCTGGATTTGGCTCACATGGAACACATTGTGAACTCTTTCTAGCACATTAGATAAATCTAACTTATATGCTACCTTTCCCACCTTTTGGAAGATCTCATAAGGTCCAATGTACTTCGGGCTTAACTTTCCTCTTTTCCCGAACCTCATCACTCCTTTCATTAGAGATATTTTCAATAAAACTTTCTCACCTACTTCGTATTCCTCATCCATTCTCTTCAAATCTGCATAGCTCTTTTGACGATCTTGTGCAGCTTTTATTTTCTCTTGAATCATCTTTACTTGTTTCACCGTCTCTTCGATCATTTTTGGCCCAAGTGTAATTGTCTCACTTTTGTCGCTCCAACATATCGAGCTTCTACACTTTCGCCCATACAAAGCTTCGAATGGCGCCATCCCAATGCTTCCGTGATAACTGTTATTGTAGAAAAACTCTATCAAGTCCAAATGATCTTCCCACGAATCCAAACACTCCATAACACACGATCTCAACATATCCTCCAATGTTTGTATTGTTCTCTCTGTTTGACCATCGGTTGCGGGGTGGAATGCAGTGCTCATCAACAACTTAGTCCCCATAGCCTTTTGTAAACTTTTCTAGAAGTTGGACAAGAACCTCGAGTCCCTATCCGAGATGATTTCCTTTGGTATACCATGGTATTTCACTACAAATTTCACATACGCTCCCCCTAATTGATCCATCGACCATGTACTCCTCATGGGTATGAACGTTGCACATTTTGTTAATTGATCCACTATGACCGAAATCATATCATTCCCTGCTCGAGTCTTTGTTAGAGCTCCTACGAAATCCATAGAGATCGAATCCCATTTCCAACTAGGAACTTCCAATGATTGAACCGTTCCTTGGGGTCTCTTATGCTTAATTTTGACCTTTTGACAAGTCAAACATCTAGCCACAAATTCTGCTACTTCCCTTTTCATATTCGGCCACCAGAATGTCTTCTTCATGTCCTTATACAACTTATCCCCTCCGGGGTGCATTGAATAAGGAGAGCTGTGAGCTTCCTCCATTAACTTCTACTTAAGATCACTTCAATTCTAGGGAACACACCATCTCCCTTTAAACCTCATGTTTCCATCATCGGCTACCGAAAAGTCCAATATTTTCCCTGGAACTAAGTCTATGGTAAATTTAACATCCCTTATAGGCGGCATCCCTGGAATTTCCTCAGGAAAAACATCGAGAAATTCTTTCACTACTGGAATATTCTTCCCATCATCGCTATCTCCTTCTTCTATATTTTGGACACTACATATATACAGTGGATATCCTTTTGCTATACACTTCTTAAGTTGCAAAGCAGATATGATCTTCAACCCTGATTTCTTCCCTTCCCTTCGGTAGGTTACCCTAACTTTGTCTGGGCCACACAACGTGACCTTTTGGGCCTCGCAATCGATTTGGGCTTTGTATTTGCCTAACCAGTCCATCCCCAAAATGACATCATGATCTTGTAAGTCAAGCTCGATTAAATTTGACGACAATTCTACTTTTGAAATGACAAGAGGTACACCCTGATGCATCTTAGTGCAACTCATCACCTCCCCTGATGGGATAGTAATATCTAAGGAAATAGACACCGGACTCTCTAACTTGAGTTTATGTACTAAAGTTCTAGAAATAAAAGAGTGAGATGCCCCTAAATTGAACAAGACTTTAGTAGACATAAAATAAATAAAGAAATTGCCAATTACCACATCAGAAGCAGTTGCAGTCTCACGGTTATTTATCACGAACACATGACCTTTGGGATCAGCTCCACTGTTGTTGTTGGGTCTAGGCTTAGGAGTGAATCCACTGGGCTGAGCTGGCTTGGGGTGGTTCTTTTCATCTTGGGGTTCACCCGACTGCTCATCAGAGACCTTCTTGTAACACTCATACTCACGGTGACCTAGCTTTTGATAGTAGCGGCAAGTCATTAGGTTTCCCTCACAATCCCTTCTTAGGTGGTTTTTCCCACATCTCTTGTAAAAATAGGTTCTCTTGAGTTTGTCTCCATTCCCTCGGTTCCCATTTCCTCTTTCAAAATTACCCCTACTGTCCCTTTTCCCATTGAAATTCCCACTAGGATTCCCTTCAACCTTGGGCTTCTTCTCACTCCCATTGAAAGTCCCACTAGTCTTTCACTTTTCCCCAAAAAAGTTTCCCTCTTGCTCTCTTCCCTTGATCCCATAAAGGTGTGCTGCCCTCCCATAAACCGCATCTAAGGTTTCAAAGGTCACTCCTCCTAATTTCCTTTGAAGGGTCAAAGTCAAACCTTGCTCAAACCTCTGGGCCTTAAGTGCTTTAGTTGGTACTACCTCAGGTGTAAATCTCATTAACTTAATGAACTAGTTATAATACTCATTAATTGTCATGTTCCCCATCCTAAGGTTGGTAAACTCTATACACTTTTGTTTTCTCAAATAGGCAGGGTAAAACTTCTCTCTTAAAGCTTCCTTAAATTCAACCCACCCAAAGTTAGGATTACTCATTAAGTCATCTCTCCTTTGACTCCACCACAAACCGACTTCCTCTCTAAGGTAATAAACAACATTATTGACTTTTAATTCCTTAGGGTAATTAATAGCATCAAAAAATTTATCAAATTCTCTCACCCAATTTTCTAAGCTTGCTTGGTCTACTTTCCCAAGGTAAGTAGGTGGTTTGGCCGCATCTACTCTTTTAAAAATTTCCCCAAAAACATCAAGGTCATTATGGCCTTTTTCCTGGTTTGAGACAATACCAGCTATGTTTTCGGTTATTTTGGTTAGCCTTTTGATGACAGAGCTAACTTTGGAACTACTCCCTTTCTTAATTCGTTGCCTTAGAGACATGGTCCTGAATAATGTGGTAATTAAGCATGATGAATTCACAAATGAACTATTCATATATCCATCCAATAAAGACTCGGAAAAGTGATAACTTGACTGTTCACAAAATATCTTGAGTACTAAACGTTCTTCAAATTAACTAGTAAGTCTAAATTTCCATTTAAAAGCAACTCTAGGTAACATCTCAAAATAAATCTTCACAAAATTTCATCATAATTTGAATACAATTATAACAACAAATTAACAAACACTTCACTGTATAATTCACATAAAAGTGTAATTCAGATCACCTTCCAATCCATTTCCAATGTAGGAATATTTGTCGAATAATTTATGAACTTTCGATATACCTTTGAATATAAAATTCCCAAGAGACCATCAATAATCTTGTTGTAATTCGAAATTTAATTTGAACCTTATACTCTAAAATATAGCTTTGACGTTTTCTTAGTCCATATGCACATAATTCACGTAAAATTTGAAATCATTTGAAATACGTTTCAAACTTTTTAATTTCGAAAATATTATATAGTTATAAGTTGAATAATTGATTCAAAATGTGGATTAGTTGAACCAATGAGATCCCAGGTAGGAGAGGTTAGGGTCGACGTAGCCCTGAGCCCAAGTCCTACCTAGCCAGATCTCATTGCCAATCCAAAAATCCCCACTATAAATCTTTCTTCATAATAAAATAGAAAGTAGTTTTTACTTAAATAATTTATATATACTTGAGAAAACAAATGCAAAACTCTATCCTATATGCTCTTCTTAAGTCTACCCATCAGTTTTATTTTCCCATTTTAATCTTTTTAAGACCCGAAAATTGATACCACTTTGTAACACCCCCAAATTACTCTCCAATAATAATAATCGTAATGCAACTTTAGGGAGTAACTTGGGGATATTACCGCCACGTGATTACGTAAGGCTTAACAGATACTTGCAGCGGAAGAAAAATACTTATCATTTATTAATAATAATAGTTCAAAACATTTCTAAAGTAACTAAAACACTGATACTATGTTTACTAAATTGTACTAGGTGATCATCGCCCATTATCCCCAATGCAGCATTTAATTCACGTCGTCTGATCGCCATCACCTATCTACTCATCATTAATGACAAGTAGGGCCAAGCCAAAACAAAAGAGAAATACGTATTAGCCAAAATGCTAAGTACATACAAATGCTAGACATGTAAAATTAATTTAGTTAATTAAACATGCTTTCGAATGACCTAAATTTATTCAAACCGCTCATGAATAGAAATTTCCATATTAAAACATATCAATTTCTGAAATCAATAACTTTCCAAAAATAGTTCCGAATATAGTATGGATTCAATTCTCATTTCACGAAATCATTTTTTCCACCTAAGTGTGCACACCCCCCAAGCTAGTAACTCCTTACATAGTGCAATCAAGGGGAAAGACTAGGTCATACATATCCCATAGTCTTTAATTTTATCTCCTCATTGTGGGAGTCAAAATTCCAAATATCCAATGAGTAAATCCGATAGATAATTATAAATGCTCAATATCCCATACCCGGGATAATTCAAACAGTAAAACTTCCTTTTTAAACATCTTGAATATCAATACAAGTTTGTAATCAACCACGTAAAATATTTAAACATTTAAGATTAAACAATTAAAACATGCTTCACCGAAATATATTTCATAATCATTCAAACATGGATAGAAATCACTTAACATGTAAATCGTGTTGCATATAAAAGTCACTTATAAAAGATCTAGCCACGTGTACGTACCTTTATCTTTGCACACAAGGAACTCCTAATTACGAACTGTAAATTCCTCCTATGACAAACCAATAATCCTAATCAAAATACTTTTCAACCCATAGACACAAGGACCTAAAAATATTAACCATTGACTTAGTTGTGCATGAGCCATTAGTTCAATTCTTGTAAAATTGATACATATATTTTCACGTCCTAGAGACCTTTTTAATATTAAGAGAGTTAGTGATATTAAACTAGTATATAGTAGTAGTAGTAGTAGTAGTAAAATAGTAGTATAGAAATGTTAATAACATTATTAATAATAATAGGTATGATAATAATTAGTAGCTTTACGTAGTAGTATTTAGTAGCATATTAGTATAAAAACATCATTTTTATCTTATATAGTTGGAAGCTACGGTAATGGAGGCAAGAGATTTCACCTTATTGCTGAGGTATGGAAGGCAGCCAGCAGGGTAGTGGTAAGAGGGGTGGTTGTGGTGGTGAGCTCACGACCAAGGAGAAAGAAGAAAGGAAAAAGAAGCTAAGGAAGAAGGAGTTTGGAGTAGAATTTGAGCAAGGTAGCAATGGTGGTTACCACTCACGCCTACATATAGCTCTAACTTAGTACTATTACAACTACATCCATCAATGCAAGGAGTTGGACTAATTAATACAATTGGAAGGCTTTTAGTCTCCTACTTGCCGACACGAGTTTTATTATTTAAATATTTATTTATTTTTTCCTTTGTAGTATTGAAGAAGAATGCTAGGTTGACATGCTTTTGTGTAGTACTAGTGTACTACAATTATATACTTGGCTTGAGTATATTAAGAATCAAATTTGGTACTTTGTTGTTTGAATCGGAAACAAGTGTCTTGAATCAGGAACATAGCACTAATGGTTAAAAATTCGATTATTGGATACGACAATTTGGCTTGTCTCGTATAATCAAATTTATAAAGAGTAATTATTATAAAATTATCTTTTTTAAAATCATATATTTAATTAAATATTTTTATATAATAATAAATTATGATATTTAAAATATTTCGGAAAAATCCAAAATTAATAATTAGTAAACGGGTTTAAAAATACTAGGTATTACAAGCAATGATTTTCCGGAAGAGAGTGTCGGATGAGCATGTCAAAACTATATCATCAACATACAACAAAAGATAAGCTGTATCGGCACCCTGTCGAAAAAAGAACAGGGAAGTGTCACTCTTGCTATTCACGAACCCAAGAGAACAAATGTGAGAAGAAAACCGTTGGTATCAAGCACGAGGAGCCTATTTTAAACCATAAATTGATCTGCGAAGGAGACAAACATGTTTGGGCTTATCCGGATCAACAAACCCAGGTGGTTGATGCACATACACGGTTTCCTGCAAGTTACCACGAAGAAATGCATTTTCATATCAAGTTGATGAATTGACCACTTTCTAGACACCACCAAACTCAGAAAAGTACGAATAATAGCAGGTTTTACAATCGGACTAAATGTCTCATCGTAGTCAACCCCAATATCTTGACCCTTACCATTTTCCACAAACCGAGCCTTGTATCTTTCAAAAGACCCATCTGATTTTTCTTTGTGTCTGAATATCCAAATGCCACGGATTACATTTGCATTTGTCGGGTGATGGACTAAATCCCATGTATGAGTTTGCACCATAGCATTATATTCATCACACGTAGCCTTATACCAATTAGGGTCTTTGAAGGCAGCAAAATGAGAACGGGGTAGAGGAAAGATGGAGGTTGAAGTGGTAGTGGCGAGAGCATAATCATCGTATTTTGTATTTAGTTGGAATATGCCGTGTTTAGCACGGGTCATCATGGAATGAGTTTGATGTTGCAAGGGGGGAGGTTGGAAATTTTGTTCCATGAAGGAAGCAAGCCCAGCAGAAAGAGGAGAAGAGGTGGACCCATTAACATGGAAAGCCCACGAATGGTCCGTGGCTGATTGAACAGACCCACGGCCCATTTGTGAGCATTTCTGCCCATGTAATGGTGAGGGAGTGCGGGCTGGCTTACTAGACAAGGAGGAAGTAGTAGTGGGCTCAGTCATTGATGGGCTTGGAGGAGTAGTGGGCTGCACATTCGATTTATTTTGCTGAGCATTGGAGTGAAAATAAAAGGAGGAGCCTCATCATCAGACTTTAGAAAATCATAATCATCTAATTTAGGAGTAAAAGAAAATGAGTAAGGGAATACATGTTCATCAAAGATGACATGGCGTGAGATAATGACTTTCTTGGTAGTGATGCCATAACATCAACAGCCTCTATGGGAAGTAGGATATCCAAGCCCAGCAAAAAGAGGAGAAGAGGTTGACCCGTTAACATGGGTAGCCCACGAATGGTCTATGGCTGATTGAGCAGACCCACAGCCCATTTGTGAGTATTTCTGCCCGTGCAATGGTGAGGGAGTGTCGGCCGGCTGACAATACAAGGAGGAAGTAGTAGTGGGCTTAGTCATTGATGGGCTTGAAGGAGTAGTGGGCTACACATTTGATTGATTTTGCTGAGTATTTGGAGTGAAAATCAAAGGAGGAGCCTCATGTTCAGACTTTAGAAAATCATAATCATCTAATTTAGGAGTAAAAGAAAATGAGTAAGGGAATACATGTTCATCAAAGATGAAATGGCGTGAGATAATGACTTTCATGGTAGTGATGTCATAACATCTATACCTTCTATGGGAAGTAGGATATCCAAGCCCAGCACACGGAGGAGAAGAGGTGAACCCATTAACATTGGTAGCCCACGAATGGTTTGTGGCTGATTGAACAGACCCACGACCCATTTGTGAGCATTTCTGCCCATACAATGGTGAGGGAGTGTGGACCAGCTGACTAGACAAGGAGGAAGTAGTAGTGGGCTCAGTCATTGATGGGCTTGGATGAGTAGTGGGCTGCACATTCGATTGATTTTGCTGAGCATTTTGAGAGAAAATAAAAGGAGGAGCCTCATTATCAGACTTTAGAAAATCATAATCATCTAATTTAGGAGTAAAAGAACATGAGTAAGGGAATACATGTTCATCAAAGATGACATGGCGTAAGATAATGACTTTCTTGGTAGTGATGTCATAACATCTATAGCCTCTATGGGAAGTAGGATATCCAAGCCCAGCAGAAGGAGTAGAAGAGGTGGACCCATTAACATGGGTAGGCCACGAATGGTCCGTGGCTGATTGAACAGACCCACGGTCCATTTGTGAGCATTTATGCCCATGCAATGGTGAGGGAGTGTCTGTCGGCTAAGTAGACTAGGAGGAAGTAGTAGTGGACTCTGTCATTGATGGGCTTGGAGGAGTAGTGGGTTGCACATTTGATTTATTTTGCTGAGCATTTGGAGTGAAAATAAAAGGAGGAGCCTCATCATCAGACTTTAGAAAATCATAATCATCTAATTTAGGAGTAAAAGAATATGAGTAAGGGAACACATGTTCATCAAAGATGATATGGCGTGAGATAATGACTTTCTTGGTAGTGATGTCATAACATTTATAGCCTCTATGGGAAGTAGGATATTCAAGAAATATGCAGGGGGTAGATCGGGGACGCATCTTGTTTAGTGAAGTGGCCGATAAACTTGGATAGCATAGGCATCCAAAAGTACGAAGATGAGTATAAGAGGGAGCCTTATTGAATAGATTGTGCATAGGAGTAAGATAGTTTAATAATCGTATGGGTCGAATATTCAATAAGTATGCAACCACACGTAAAGATTCAACCCAAAAGGAAGGAGGAAGAGAAGCATGAAAAAGAAGAGAATGACAAATATTATTAATGGTTTGAAGCATACATTCGGCTTTGCCGTTTTGAGGAGATGTATTTGGACAAGAGTGTCTCCAAACGATGCTATTGTTCTAAGAGAAAAGAGTGAAGCTATCATTATCATATTCCCTCCCATTATCACATTGTAAGGCCTTTATAGACATCCCAAATTGAGTTTTAACATAAGCATAAAAACTCAAGAAAGTAGAGAACACACTAGATTTTGATTTAAGAGGAAAAACCCATACATAATCAGAGTAGTCATCAAGAAATATTAAATAATTTAATAACGAAATCCGGATTGACTATTAATGGTATACGTGAATAAATCAGTGTGAACAATATAAAACGGAGCATAAGTCTTAGTAATAGATTTGGAAAAAGGAAGATGAAATTGTTTGCCTAATTGACAACCATAGCACACACAGGGTAACTGCCCTTGATTACAAGAGATAATATTATGATGTCTAAGATAACTAAGGACTTGATCTTCGGGGTGTCCCAAACGATTGTGCCACACATCAGGTGATAAAGCATCAAGAGTAGAAGATGAAGTAGATAAAGGTGTCGAGGAAGACGCTATAGGGTAGAGGTTACGAACACTATTGCACCTCGTTAATAGATTCCCCGTTCGTAGGTCCTTCACAGAAAAACCAAAAGGGTCAAATTCAATAGAGACAGAATTATTGGAAGTGAATTGACGAACAAAAATAAGATTTTTAATGATGTTAGGTGCATAGAGAACATTTTAAAGAGTAAGAGGGGGAAGTGGCTTAGAAAGAGTAGTTGTGCCCGAACCCTTAATTGGTATTTTTGTGCCATCACCAACCATAATAGATGAATTTAAATTTTTCCAGTCAACAAAAGAATCAGTGATACCTGAATTATTCATCAAATGAGATGAGGAACCAGTGTCCATATACCAATTGGAGTCTGGTAGCTGAAGAGATACCGTATTAAAAAATACAGGCAAATTAGTAGGTTGGTAGTTCGACCTGGAAGCAATATGTGCTTGATTTGATTGAGGACGCTGGGTAGGAGTCGGTCCTAAGATGCCTTGTTGAGACTGCTGTGGTTGCTGACCTCGCCACTGAAACCCTTGGGAAGGATAAGGGCACGGTGGAAAGGTCCAATTAGAACCCCACATGGGAACCCAAGGAGGGAACATGCCCTATTGGAATTGTTGTTGTTGCTTATTGGAGTTACCACGGCCAGCACCTCCAGCACCACGACTAACACCCTTAGTATTATTTTTCTTATTATTTCCACGATTAGCACTGCTACCCCCATGGCCAGCAGGGTTTTGTGAGTGTTGCTGCTGCTGCGACGAATTGGAAGAAGAGTTCACTGAAGTAGAGAGTAGAACAGTGGCATAAGAGTCCTGAGTATCCTGATTCTTCTCTCGTGATGTTCGGTCTAGCTCGAGCATTGAGCATGCTTTGTCAAAGCTAGGCAACGGGACCGATTGCTGAATTAGAGTGGCAACCATATTGTACTCAAGGGTAAGCTTTCTTGTTAATTGAAGAACAAGGCACTCCTCTGAAATTGGATGATCCATGGCAGCTAACTAATCAGAAACAGTTTTTAGGGCTTGACAATATTCAAAAAGAGAAGAGAAATCCGCTAATTTAGTCATGCCAAATTGATTTTCGAGAAAAACAATATGAATACCCTTATTGTCTTGGAAAATATTGCGGAGTCATGCCCAAGTTCCCATAGCAGTGGCTTTGTCAACAAGAATCTTATACAAGAGATTAGTGGATATGGTTCTATACACCCACTGAAGAATAATAACATCGAGTCGATCCCACAATTCATCAGAAACATTGATAGGCTTCGGGATTGAGGGATCAATATGATCAAGGATAGTGAAAGCCCTTTGCGGTGTTGCAGAAGAGAGTCGCCCATGGATAATACTGCACCTTATTTCCATCAAGCATGAGGAGAAATGAGATTGCGAATGTTTGTAACATTCAAAGTCGGATGGAAAACCAGACCACTAGGAGGAGGAGGATTTGGAGTGATATGTGGTCAGTGTTGAGGAGGGGCGTACGGTACCGTATCGCCGATCATGGTTGAAGAAGATTAGGGTTACAGAGAGAGCGAGGATTGAGTGAATCTGATACCATGTAAGATGGGAGAATTCTCCTTGGAGGCATATTATTGATATGTGCCAATATATATACCCTTTGGGAATTAGGGTTTACAATCATACATTGCTAATATGAACACTAAAATATTTACGTATTTAAATTGTCTAACAGTATTACTCCCTTCATCCCAGAATAAATGGAACATTGAACTTTTATCCCTATTCATGCATTAGTTTTGACCATAATTTTTTACTATCATAATAAAAACATATTTTATCGTCAAATATGTTGTTAGATAGTTAATAATATACAGGTTCATAATATATATAATTTTTTAAATACTTTTCATTAATATTTAATTATATAAAAAAAAAGTCAAATTAGTGCAATGGCGTGTGTGTAAAGCTGACTATGTCAGTTAATTTGAGACAGAGGGAGTATGTACATTTAATGAAAAACATATTTATGAGAGATCTTATTAGAATCGTCTCAATAAGTACTACATCAATATACAACTTTAAAATTTTTTCTTATGTAAAATCAAAAATATTAATGGTTAAAGTTTTGCATTAGACAACGTGATAAATGAAACAGATCAAGTAAAAAGAACATATGAAGCATGACTTATAGACTATATTTGAATTTTGGTAATTTAATTATTTATTTGAATTTTGGAGCCAAAATGATATTTGAATCTTGGTGCCAAAACTATTTTCAAACTTAATTATTATTTTGGATTTTAAATAAAATTAATTATCCTCTTATTTATTTTATTTAAAATCGAAATTATATTCTTATATTATACTATATTATATTCGAATATTTCATACAATATTAAAATATGATTTTTAACCATTTATTTTGGACGAATTTTAATTAATTATTTCCTAATTTAATTGTTTTCATAAAACCAAAAATTAATATGTAATTTTCTGATTTTTGAGAAAATAAAAACTGATTTTATTTTTATTATTTGGTTCAAATTTAGAAAATAAAAATGAGTTTTGGAAGCTTAATAATTTCGGATTTTATGAGGAAATTAAATAGATTTCGTTTGATTTAATTATCTTACCTTAAATTATTAAATTTCTAAGTTTTCCTATTTTTATAAAATAATCTCTTACTTATACTTATTTGATCATATATATTTTGATACTAAATCTCTCATACTTATTCTCCAAGCAAGCTTTTATTCCCTTAAACTATTTTCATGATCATATTACTATTTAACACTTTCCATAATCTATTTTCTTAATTATTCTCCAAGTAAGCTTACTTGCCATCTTTTATTTCAGGATCAAACTATTTACCTTATTCCTTATTTCTTAATCACCATAAACTAAACCTTCCTTAATTCTTAAACTACCGTTTCCAAGTAATTCCTTAAACTAAAATTACTATATTTCTTCCTACACTAAATTGCCTTAATTCTTACATTTATGAGCCTATAAATAAATACCCCTTCATACCTCTCATATTCTTCACACCAAAACCCAATTCTCTTCTTCTATCTTATTCTTCTTTTATCTTTAAACCTTTTTCTACTTTTCTTCTCCTCTTTTCATACAAAATCAGCCCGTATGCCTTTGCAGCCAATTTTTGGGCACTTTTGGTCAGATTTGGGGTTTTCTATTTCAGGGAATATTGTTCCTCTCGAAAAATCCTTGAGGTTAGGCTCAAAAATCACCCAACTCAGAGTTATATTGAAAGAATAATGGCCTCTACAAGTTCTTCCTATTCTTTCCAACGTGAATTCAATTCTTCTTAATCCTATTCCTTTATTTACTTCATGGTATATTCGTGATTGAACTTTGAAAGTGCGAAGTGTTGATTTGAATTAAGATTCGGAATCAAGGTATGCTTAGATGGCTAGATACCTTTGAAAGTGATTTATTTGAATAGCATGTTTGTTTTCATATGATTTTTAGTTATGATTGAATTAAATTGATTTGAATGATGTTTATAAAATAAGTTTGAGAATTCATGTTTTAAAATAGAGATGTTTGAGAATGGATTTCAATATCATATTTTGAATGGTTTGAATTATTAAAAGGTTTGATTTTAATGTAATTTGAATTAAATAAAAAGGAGTTTGAATTATTTTATTATAAAGGTTGATTTTATTCAAAAGAAGAATTTCATGAGAATTATTGAATTATCCATTAAATCTTTACAAGCATGTTTATGTAATCCTATTATGTGGATTTGGTTGATAAAACTATGGATTTTGTATGACCTAGTCTTTCCTCATGGATAGCCTTTCAATATAAAGATATTAATTTGGGGGTGTGCACCCTTAGAAGAGGAAAATTGAATAAATTAAAGGAATGAATTTTCAATGCTTTGAAAACTGTATTAATATTTATTGAATTTTGAGGATTAGATTTATTGGAATTATTTTGAGAATCTTGAGAATTGATTTTGAATTATGAGGTTTGGAATTATTGAAATAAATATTGGAATTTCATGATTGGTTTAAAAGCATGTTTGCTAATAAATTGAGTTTACATTATCTTGCACTTATCGTACTTAGCATATTTTGCTAATCTGTATTTTCTTATTTGTTTTGGTTCACCCTGTTTACCTTAATGGTAAGCAGTGTTAACTATTTTCAGGTGGAATCATGAATGAACATTTGGGAGTCTCGGGTTTTGCTTCACTTAGATTAAGGAATGTTGGTTTTGTTTTACTTTTGAGTACTCATAACAATGTTACTATTTTATAAGTATTAATAAAAGAAGAGTTTGAGTTTCCACTGCAAAGTTTTATTATTGAGTTGAGTATTTTGAGTAGCCTTGCGTAATCACGCGGCGGTATTACTCCTAAATCTATCGCTACGGTATAATTATATATATTATACTAGTATTTCCGTAGAGGGAGATTTGGGGGTGTTACAAGATTTTGGGTGGATGCCAATGTGAAAAACCCGTTATGACACGTTTTACCCCGTTGCTTATGTGGCATGAATTAAATCCTAGTCTGTCACATATTGTTGTTTTCCATCTGATTGCACATAATCATTTGAAACAAAAAACACTAATTGCGTGAAATTTCCCCAATTCAATTGTTTGAGGTTTAGCTTTAGGGGTTTACACAAAGTAATTAGGGTTCTTCGCTAATCAATCGTGTCAAAACTTTTGACAAATTTAGGGTTCTCCACAAAGAAATTAGGGTTCTTCACAAAGGAATTAAGGTTCTTCGTAAGGGAATTAGGCCAAACACCGCAAATTTTGCCAATTAGGACTCTTCCAAAGTTATTAGGGTTCTTCGCATAGGAATTCGCAAAGGAATTAGGGTTTGCTCGCTATTCCATTGGCATATTGTTGGTGAGAAGTTGATTTTCCAGGAATTAGGGTTTTTTTTATGTGACTTGAAGGTGCGTATCCTTTTTGTTTGAATTATTGATGGTTTGATTTATTATTTGTTTTGATTTATTGTTGGAATTTTATGAAAAATGCATAGTTTGTCCTTGATTTATTGTTGGAATTCTATGAAAAATGCATAGTTTGGTTTGATTTATTGTTGGTTAAAAAGATAGCAAAATTTGTGTTAATATAATGCGCTATGTTATTAACAACTAAGTTGAGTAATGTTAATTGCAATCGGTAGATGTATATTAAAAGAGTAAATGCAATCTAAGTTCAAGGTGCAGTGTAGTAATGAGAATTTATAGAATTCTAGTGAATTGGACATTCATACCAAATTATAGTTTTATAAGGTCAAAGTGTTGGGTAATTAACCAAACAAAGATCACAAAGATGATTGGATATGGAAAAGAATCAAAAACCTTCAACGCGTGAATGATATAACTTTCCCAAAAGTAATATGTCGACCCTAAACTACTGTTCGGGCATCACGAGATTACTTAGGAGATACAATGAAGAACAATTGCAATTATGAGTAGTATTAAAGAAATTAAATGAAAAGTATTTTAACTTTTAAGATGATGAATCTTTGTAATGAAAAATAAGAACATGCAAAAGCATAAAAAGAGAACTATATTTCTGATTTCTTTTTTGCGCCTAATCATCATATGTCATATATATATAGAGCAATTTACAAAATAAAGTAACTGTTAAAATCAATTAACATATACTGCATGGTGCCCCGATCGAGCAAGGCCCCGCTTCATATCCTTTTCTTTTGCTCTAATCTTTTGACTTCCTCGATCAGCCATGCCTTAACGAATGCTTATTAAGAAAGTCAAACATGATATTAATTTCCAATACTCTAAATTAATCTACAATCCTCTTCCATTTAGAGTACTTAATAAAATTTATTGCACTAAACATCATCATCACAAAACAATCTATGCATACATAAAAGTGTACAAAGATTTGGACATTCACTTAATAAAATACACATTTCAAGAATCATAATCCAGGCCAATTGGTATCGTGGAACGTTTGAACCAATAGCAATACGTGTTAGAAACTACAAGATATTATACACACAAGATCAAATAACTTATTTAATACATTATATACTTGACATGTTATGGCCATGTGTTTGTATTTATTCATAAGCACATCAAAGCTATGCCCAAACAATTTCTTGAAGCGGCTAAACCTGGTACTGTGACAAAGCACAATATCAAAATATTTATTAAGATAAACAACTTCTTTCCATCTATTAAACCCAAAAATCAGATTTTTGACTTTTTGTTTGACTTTCTTGACTTTAACCGAGTTAAGAGGTTTCTAGAGATAGTAAAGGCTTTTAGGCTGAATTTCTCAAAACATAAAAGCAACGTAGATATCACGTAAAGGCCCAACAACATATAGGCCGGATTAGAAGGCTAATGAGTGATTTTAATTTTCAAAGAAGTGTAGGGGCTAAG